GTCCTGGATAACGATATTTATATCGTAATTTTTAATATAATTTTCTTTCCGTGTATCACAGTTAAAAAATTAAAAATAGTATATTACATACCTAGGCCAGTAAAATAAGAAAAGTCTCAGATTACATGTAATTGTTGGCCGAGGCGAAGCCGAGGTGGACAAACATGTGATCTGAGGCTTTACTTTTTACTGGCCAAGGTGTGTATACTATTTTTCTGCTCGACGTAGCCGGAACGTGGCAACTTTGTTTAGCGAAATTCAAAATTTATTTAAGCTTACAATTTACTTTAGAAGAGAATACAAAAACTGATGTTAACAAAACGTAACATTATCAAAATATTATGGAAATCAATTTTTGTGATTTGGTTGTTATTTAATTTCTTTTTATGTACCATATTGTACCTTGAAAAAATTCTTCATTATTAGAAGCAATGTTACCATTTAATAGGTTAAACTATTTTGATTTCATTTTATAATTATTTTTTGGGTTTTTTTCCTTATCAATTATAGCGTCATCGCAATTGACCTTTTTATTTCTAACGTTGTTTGACGCATTAAATTTTAATGCGTTTTATTGGACTAAAAATAGCTTTAGGCGAAATTGATAGTGATAATTAAGGTCAGTTGGGACAATATTAAAAAAGACAACAGGTTGAATTCATCATTCATCGAATAATTATTAGTTGAATTAACAGAAATATGTAAGTATTTTATTTATTTTATATTTTTCGGTTTTATTGTGTTATAAAACTTCAGTTTTTGGTTATAAATACATTTTTTTTCACAAAACCTGATTGATAAATCTAATTTGAAATGATTTAATCTATGCAAAATGTATATCTATGTATTAGTCAACTTAAATAAACAAATATCGAATACGACCTCTTAATATTTATACGAGAAATTGTTTATAATTTTCAGTTTTTCGTTAGTGTGGAATAAAAAATACGTGAAAATGAACAAGAAATTGACATTAATAGTCTTCGTTGGATTTTTTGCAACTATAGTCGATCATGTGGTGAGTAAAAAAAGAAAATAGTTGTTGAGTTACAAGACTTTTAAAGTCTTAAATTTTTTATAATTTATTGTAACCGATAGAATCTGAATGTTATGTTTTTGCGATTAATTAAATATAATCTTTTAGCTCGCTGATCCTGCTAAACTGGATGATTACAATACTTTTCTTCAGCAACTAGGCAGTGAAACAGGATTAGATGTTGGTGAAAAGATTACGGTAATAAATAAATTCTATTCCTAAACTGGTAGAAATACTATCTTGATTCAAAATAAATAATTTTTCCGAGTAACTAACTTTGAAATCAACTGTTTCTAGTTTGCAAGAATTTCTTCCCTAATATCATGATTTCACGAATTCATATTGCTACTTTATTAATTATCTAACAATGATAATTTTCTATGGTTTCTCCCTGAATTCCTCAGGAATTCATATTTGTATCAAAATATGAATTCTTCAGGATTTTCTTGCGGAATAACCGGAGAAATTCCGCAACTTTTTTACGGAGGTAATGACCAAAGTAGTGTGTCAGGGGGTCTGACTCCACCGGTAAAACAGATTTGTGGATCATATACATACTAAATCTGTTTACCGATATTGTTACCAACTGTCGATATGGAAGGATCTATATTGCCGACATTTTGAGGTTATGGGTGAGGTTTTTACCGACGCGGATATGGTGGCGCTGGTGGTGAATTCTGCCGCCATTTTTTAAATTTAAATATCCGCCATTTTCCAGCCATTTTTTAAATCTATCCATTTTGAATTTGCTATCTGAAATCCGCCATCTGGTGGTCGCTATCCGCCATTTTTTAAATCTATCCGCCATTTTGAATTTGCCATCCGAAATCCGCCATCTGGTGGCCGCTATCCGCCATTTTTTAAATCTATCCGTCATTTGAATTTGCCATCTCGTGGCCGCTATCCGCCATTTTGAATCTGACTTCCGCCATTTTGAGTCTGAAATCCGCCATCTGGTGGCTGCTATCCGCCATTTTGAATCCGCCATTTTGAGTTCTGAATCCGCCATTTTGAATTTGCTATCTGATTTTCGCCATTTGGTGGCGTCTATCTGCCATCTGGTGGTTGATATTTTGAGTCTGAAATCAGTCATTTGAGTCCGCCATCTGGTGGCTGCTATCCACCATTTTGAGTCTGAATTCATCATCTGGTGGTTGCTATCTACTATTTTGAATTGTGAATTTGCTATTTTGTTAAAAAATGCACCTGTGGTTTGGCCGTTAAAAAGTTATTCCAAAAAATGTCGGAGGATGCGCCCCGTATTTCTCATTTATCAAAATAAGAAACTTATTGCTCAAACCATCACGATATATTACTCAGAAGAATAATACTTAAAAATTTTTTCAATTTTAGTTTTGAAAATTACATGAACATTTTTGAATATAATTTTGCCCGTGCCATAAATACTCTTTAAATTTACCGTGGACACACCGTAGATACACCGTGGATACACTGTTAACGACTAGAACAAAGACACAGTATAATCACAGTGTATACACCGTGGGCTCAAAACTGCGAAAATATTTTGAATACAACCAGCTGCCCAAGAATTTTTTGAAAAAAAAAAAATTATTTTTTAAAAAACAAAATTTACTTTAACATACTCTGAAACGTATTTAGGACTTTTTGATGAAATAATAAGAAGAATTTTCTGCTTATCGTCAAGTTACAATTTATTGAAAAAAATATTTTTCTTTAGAATTTATTTTTTTTCAGTGTTTTTTTTAAGCAAATTACAATTCCTTAAACATCTATGTTCTTTTTAGAATGCAAAACTATAGCTAAAATTCTAACCTTACTTACGGATCGATCTACATTGGATGATAAAATTTCAAGAAATGTGAGTAAACCTTATTGCTTACAATAATTTGCTTCGAAATATAATGATTAATAATTGATATCCTACTTGCAGTTGAATAAATTTTTGAACGACCTCTGGAACTTAAAAATTGAAATCACTGCTTGCGATATTATACCGTTGGATCGTGAACTTTTGGCAATCGTAAGTTGAATACATAATTTGATACATTATTTATAAACCGTTCCTTTAAACTGATATTTTTTCAGGTGTCTAATTTAATTACAACGTACCTTATCATTGATGTGCAATTCGTGTTTAAAGTTTCTGAATAATCATAAAATATAGATCAAAGTTTGAAAATTCATCTTATGTGTTCATGATTTAGTTGTTCGTAATTAATATTAGCTCTACTTGTCTTTATACAAAACAATAATTTATCTAATCATATAATATAACTCTTTTGAAAATTTTTATTAATTATGTTTATAAAACCAATCTCCAGCATAAAATAAAAGTATACAAAAATTATTTTTCAATCTCTTTTATTAAATTTTCAATTATTTCTTCTTTGTCTAAAAGCTTCTGCTCGACTTGTTGAAAAGTTTTTAATTCTTCCAAGATAATATTTATCTGATCAACGATACACTTGTCAATTTTACTTTGTTCTTTACCTACTTCTTGTGTTTTGTTTATCATTTCTTTGTTCTTTGCAATTTCAATTTTCATTTTTTTCTCAAAACTTTCTCTTTTCTTTCTCAGCTCTGCCAAAATTGCTTTTATTTTTCCATTCTGCTCTTTAGCTTTCGCTAAAATTTTTGAAATTTCATTGGATTCTGATGTCTTTACTTTACTTCCAGAAAAATAATTCAGATTAGTCAATTAACCTCTACTATAATATTAATAATTAACAATTACAATAACATCAACAATAGTATTACCTTCACTCATTTTGACAAATTCTGTTCAGGTAAACAATTCTTGAAATATTGATCTCAGTAAATTTTGTTTAAAATGATATAAAAATTTTTTGATTAGTTTGACATATTTTTTTTTAGTTTAAATTTATTAACAAAAATTATTTCGCATCACGTTATAATCATTTGATTGTTTTTTTATTTTAATGTAAAATAGGTTATTAAATAAAAGACGATCAATGATTAATTTTATTTTCAACCATACGAATTATTTTCGACTATAAATATGCAGTCATTTTTTACTGTCAGGTTATTTAAAACAAAATAAAAATTCTTTTAAAATTTCCGTCATGCGGACCAATGAAATAGTTAGATTTCTATGAAATCTACTAAAAACTGGAAATTTTGATTTCATATTGAGTTGAAATTTTATTTTATTGTAGATCCAATTATTGAAATTATTATATAGTTACGGTTAGATTTTACTTTTTCAATTCGTTCGGTTTTTTAAATCTAATATTTGTATGACACCATTTTCACGTATTAGAAATCATTTTTTATTATATCATATGGACACTGTTATGCATTAATGTGTTGTGCTATGAAAATCCTATGTACTTAACACACTATTGCATAACAGAGTCCATATATACTGTTTTCTTCAAATTTAAAAAAATTTGAATATTGACAATTTGAATAGTTTTATTACCTGCTGTAATATCGATTTATCAAGCCTCAAATTGAAAAAAAAAACTCAAAGGGTTTCTATTTTTAATTTTTTTGTAGCATAATGAATCCTAATAATTATATGACAATATTAATATTTTATAATAATTCTTGTAAAAGAATTTTTTTTTAATTGCCATTATCATGAAATCGCATAAAATATTATGATTATTAAAATATATTTTTGTCTTAATTATAAAAAATTTTCTTTCACTGCAAGAATAAAATAAAAATAGTTTTATAAAGTCAGCAAATTTTATTACTTAGGCGTACAAAATTATATAGAATTATACCATACCAAATTAAAGATTTCTTATAATTATGAATAATATTATAACGATTAAGTAGCAAATATCATTGCAAATAGTTAAATTGTAATAATTTAAAATTTAACATTCATTGCTTCAATCATAAGGTTTTAAATTTTTATAAATAAATTAAATTTATAAATACAAAAAATTATTATTTATTTGTACCCGTACATGTAATTTTTTACGTACAATGTGTATTACTTATAAGTTTTTTACATTTTCTTTTTACCTAAGCGGAAAAGTACGGGCGATTTCTCAATTTCTGCGATCAATTCGTTCAATCTTCGAGTGAATGGTGGACACAAAGTTGTTGTTTCAGGAATTTTCGTCTTTGAAAAAATAATTAACATTTAGTAATTAATTTAAAAAACTAATCTTTTATGTTAAGCTTGCAGTATTAAATTTTACTTACTTTTGAATCAGTCTTTTTTTCGTTAGAAGTAATTGGATTTTTTCTACGAATAGTTGATTTGTTGTTAGAAGTAGTTGAAAATTCAGGACAACGATTATTAATAATCGATAAATTCTAAACAATTCATTAATAAATAAAAAAAATTGTTTTCTATATCAATCTATAAAATTTTGTTTTTAGTTAGATCACTTACCGAAATATCTACACCTTCGGGAATTTCGCATTTTTTTCCATTAACAAAAATTTGCTGTTAAAAAATGATCATTATAAAAATATGAGTTTATTAATCGAAATTTTTATTCGCTATTATAGAAAAACATAAAAGTATCTTAAGCCGACGCAAAACACGCTATATATTAACAGAAAATATGATTTGTTTTTATAATTTACTATAGAAGATGAATTGACTGTTTTATCATCATCGGCATCACCATCAAAAGGATTATCAACTTTTTCTGTTTTGTCTGGTGTTGCCATATCTGAAGACTGTTAAAGCAAAATTTATTTTTTTTTATCATATTTATCATCGATTTCAACTGTAGTGGTCATTTTTCGGACTTTTTAAACCGTAGGGAAATGCTACGTTGGGGATTTTTAGATTTATGAATCTTAATCTACTTGGCGACGGGTTGAATCTGACACAGTGAAAAATTTTGCGTCATTACGTAAAAATTATCTGTATTAAAAAAATTTGAGTTAAATATTCAACACAACATTTTTTGACCAAGACTGCAAGACCAAGACCGATTTTGCTCATCACTATAATGACGCAAGATTTTTTACTGTGCAGGATCAAAAGTTCTCGTATTTTAACGAAAGATTCGTTTCGAAAACCAACTTAAGATTCGAACCCCTGCCCGGCTATTTTTTTTTTTTTCGGTTTTGAAAAAGGACTTATGGAAAAAAAAATAAACAATTATGGATGAAAATTCTCAAGTTGTCTATCTAAAGTTGTTTTTTTCTAAATCTTAGAAAACTTTTTCCAACAAAAAAATCACTGTGAGAAAAATTCTGATTTCTTCAGCTAAGAAATAAAGTTGTTGAATAATTCCATTAAATTAATTTCTTGTCACGAGAATTTCCATATTTTTCAAAATAAATTATTTCTTTTAAGACTTCGAAAATTATAGTAAAATATATTAGTTAAGGATGTATGAGCGTGACAACAATTTTCGATTTAAGTCCCCAAAATTTTTTCAAAGATAGATTTATACCCAAAGAATTTGCTGTTAAAATTTCAGTATAGGTAACGGGGCAAATTTTTAAGAAAATAATTATTAAAAATTGACATAAAATACATTGCTCTTATGGAGAAACGGCTTATATCCTTTTCGTATAAGCGAAACTTACCGAAAACTTATTTATCCTAAAAGACAAAAACCGACTCGTCATCTACAGAAAAATTTTTTTTCCTATGTGTAATGATTCGAAAAGTCAAATCTCGATTCGACACTATCCGAAAAGCATGTTGACTTTTTGCAGAAATATATTTTACAAGAAAATCAACTAACCGAAAAGACATTATCCGCATCGTCATCAATAGAAAATTATTAAATCCTCTTCGTTATGATCCGAAAAGTGAAATCTCGATTGGACACTATCCGAAAATATTCTCACATGATGAAAAAAAAAACTATATTATCGAGCAACAAGTTTATCCAGTCGATAATGTGAATTTCAAATGGTAATAGACAAAGTTTTTGTATTTTTGTAACGTACGTTATAAGAACGTCCGTATAATTTTTATCTCAGCAATTCACTAATAGTACTTCTGCTTAATAAAAAAGAATCAAGATATATCAGAATAAACTTAATTAAGAATTTATAATACTTTATTTTAAATAACACACAAAATACATTTTTTGCTGTTTGAGAAATGTCTTATCCTCATATGTAATCAACAAAAAGAAAAATGTTTATCCTTTTTTTTTATATCGAAATAAAAATTTTTTAAGAAATATTAAAAATTTTAGTGTTATTATTAATAACTAATTTTTTCGAATAAAAAATAGATATTACTATATAATTTTTTGTCAACTTCTTCCAGGGATCTTACCGAAATTTTCGCTCGCATTAAAAAAAAGATTATTAAAATACTACCCGAGAAAAAATGGTAAATCTCGAACAACTCATCTTCTCTATTGTCTTTTATACACAATAAAATTTATAATTGTGTAATTAAAAACTATAACATAATGCAACAACATTTTTTTTTCGTGTGTGGACATATAATTCAAAAAATCACAAGAATTTTTTTTCACTAATTTCTTCTGTACCTACTGATTATTTTGCTGAGTAGCAAATAAAAGTTTCTATATTATCTACTGTTCTCTGAAGTAGTAATTTTTCGGATAGTGTCCAATCGAGATTTCACTTTTCGGATCATAACGAAGAGGATTTAATAATTTTCTATTGATGACGATGCGGATAATGTCTTTCCGGTTAGTTGATTTTCTTGCAAAATATATTTCTGCAAAAAAGTCAACATGCTTTTCGGATAGTGTCCGATCGAGAATTGACTTATCGAATCATTACACATAGGAAAAAAATTTTTTCTGTAGATGGCGAGTCGGTTTTTGTCTTTTAGGATAAATAAGTTTTCGGTAAGTTTCGCTTATACGAAAAAAGGATATAAGCCGTATTAGTTGGGTAGTGAGTTGTAGAGGCGCGCAACTACGTCAAACAGCTGTTCGACTTGTCCAAACATCAAACCACCACAAATTAAAAAAAATCTACTTGATTGTGTTGTATATTATATACATATATACGATTATCTTTTATATACTCATACATAAGAATCATCAATTTATCAGCATCGTCTATTATTGTCAATTATCAGGACTAATTTAATCATCGATCATCACCAACGTTAACAGATTTTTTTTTATATCGAAATAAAAATTTTTTAAGAAATATTAAAAATTTTAGTGTTATTATTAATAACTAATTTTTTCGAATAAAAAATAGATATTACTATATAATTTTTTGTCAACTTCTTCCAGGGATCTTACCGAAATTTTCGCTCGCATTAAAAAAAAGATTATTAAACGGGTAGCTGCTCGTATACTGTAAATCTCGAACAACTCATCTTCTCTATTGTCTTTTATACACAATTAAATTTATAATTGTGTAATTAAAAACTATAACATAATGCAACAACATTTTTTTTTCGTGTGTGGACATATAATTCAAAAAATCACAAGAATTTTTTTTCACTAATTTCTTCTGTACCTACTGATTATTTTGCTGAGTAGCAAATAAAAGTTTCTATATTATCTACTGTTCTCTGAAGTAGTAATTTTTCGGATAGTGTCCAATCGAGATTTTACTTTTCGGATCATAACGAAGAGGATTTAATAATTTTCTATTGATGACGATGCGGATAATGTCTTTCCGGTTAGTTGATTTTCTTGCAAAATATATTTCTGCAAAAAGTCAACATGCTTTTCGGATAGTGTCCGATCGAGAATTGACTTATCGAATCATTACACATAGGAAAAAAATTTTTTCTGTAGATGGTGAGTCGGTTTTTGTCTTTTAGGATAAATAAGTTTTCGGTAAGTTTCGCTTATACGAAAAGGATATAAGCCAAGAACTTTTCATATGAAAAAAAAAAACTATAAATAAGAAAGATAATACTTATAGTAAGTCAATAAAATTATAAAAACACTATGCATCGATGCATCCTAAAGAGAAAAATTAAAATGAAATTTAAATAAATTCAGTTTAATAATTTTTTCTCGCCATGACTTAACACTTGGCAACGTTTCACTTTTATAATGAGCGCCACAAGAAGCTGGTGTCGGAAATATTAAGCACGGATGTAAATATAACCTCACTTTGAGATTTAAAAATCAAAGTAACATGACACATTGACAAACGCGGTGACATTCATATTAATATTTACATTATTAAAAATAATTTTTACATAAATTAACGAATTGTCAATGATATAAATTAAATAAAATAGGACATGCATGACGGTTTTTAAAATTTACACTTGGCAATAATTATTGTTTAATTATTAAGTAACGCAATACAAAACAACAGTGGTTATAATAATTAATTATAGTTAAAAAAATTATTTTTCTTGGGTTGGAACACATATTTGTTCAGTTTTTTTCTTTTTATTTTTGAAAGATTGATCACTTTCCACCTCTAAGGGTCGTTTCTTAGGGGCTGTTCATAAATTACGTAAGCATAACTTGGAGCATTTTACAACCCCCATCCCCCCATGATAAGCATTAGTAAGATTTTCAACTGATACATCCACCCCCCTCTGAAATCTTACGTAAGATATACATCAATTTTGGGCTTTCAATAAGTTAAAAAATATTTTTAATTTTTAACAAATGCCATTGAAACGTAATAAATTTAATGGGAACGCTATGGAATGCGTCACTTCTTATTTAGAGAATTTATCAATTAATAAATTAAATCTTAGATTCTAATCATTCAGGGTACGTTTCAAAATGTGAATTCTGCCTGGCTCCAGAGACTCGGTTACTTATAAAATCGAAGAATAAAAACCTCGAACTGGCCATACAAACTAATAAAACCAACACTAATACTTATGTATAGCTTAATTAGGACTTCGAGTAGGTGTTGCTTCTCCTGGTGAATTGGAACACGTGGCCTCTGGTACATGTTCTGGTGAATCCACCTCAAACCACGTACTGGGAGTGGCATGTAATGGCAAGATGCAAATAACTGATTGACTTATTCGTTGGATAATTTATTTATTAACTATTAAATAAATTATATTAACCACTGATGCCTAACTTGGCAACATTCACACACAAACTGGAGCTAATTAGTAATATTAGGTGCTTCGAATATTACTAATAATATATCAAACTGTTCTGACTGAACAGGCAAAGTGAATCAAACTATTCATTACAAAATAGGCAAAAACGGATTAATTAAACTTGACGGACCAGGTTGAATTTTTCAAATTACAACCAACTGGATAAGATTCAACCTTACAAACCACAAATGAATTATTTAAACTATTCCAACTGAATAGGATTCAATTAGTTTAATTTTTACTATGTGCATCAACTAGCATTTTTTAATTGAAATAAAAGATTCTGACACTCATGTCAGCTTCGATCTTTCCGCCTCGTTTTAACAACTTATAACCAAACAAAACTGTGTGTGACATTATCGATGCAATTGAACTATCGATCGAGAATCTTAGTAGAAAAGTAATTTAAGTTACCGACTACTGAAATAATTTAAAAATTTTGCTTACGTAAGATTTGTCTACTAGCGCCCTCCCCCCTAAGTAAGCATACATAGAGATTCAGCTTGATCCCCCCCCTCCCCTAATGAGCGCTTACGTAATTTATGAACAGCCCCTTACGAAAATGGCCTTTTGTTGCGTCTCAAAAGACTCAAAAGCTCCGTCATTTTTTAAAAACATTCAAATATTTCCGCTAGAAACTAACCAAAAAGCTATGTTGCCAAATGTAAACTAGACGTCACGTGGTACTTTCCGTTACCTCACCCCGCAATAGTATAAGGCCATCCCTTCTCTCTATAATTCACTATTCCCCCACTCCCTCGCTCATACATCCTTAAGATATTATGTATCTAAAATTTTAATAAAATTTTTTTTCTCAAAATTATTAACCGATACTTTTTAAATTTTTAATTTAGTGCGCTTATAGATGCGTCATCTATGTACGTTATTTCCTTTATTACTGGCATTAAAATAGATAAAATAAATAAAAACATTTATTAATTTACTTTGTTATCAATTTTTTACAAGATGTCAGTAAAATAAGTATTGGAAAACAATAATAATTTTCCTTTTTACTATAGTAGACTTGTTAAAAGATGGTTTTTCCAAGTCATACTTACACCTAAGTCGTTAGTTGAATCGTCAGCTTCAGGTGTTACATCTGGGTTTGGTTTAATCACAGGGTCCTAAAAAAATGATTAAATCTATATTATACACTAGACATAGAACGATAAGCTAAAGAAAAAAAAAATACTTGATTCAAGAATAAACATATTTCTTCAAAATTTCACTTTTGATTTAAAATATTCTGTCTCGATTTAAGAAACTAACTTTTCGATAACTAACAGTTGAGGGATGAGCAGAAAATTTTTTAGAAGATTTTTACTTTCGCGCCTTACTTTATTGTTTTTAAACAAAACACACTTCCCGAGAAAAAATTTTTCTATATAATTATATATAATTGTATATAATCATATATGATTATATATAATTATATATACTTATATATGGAACAATATATAATCTTGCTTGACTGTATATTGCTCCATATATAGTCATATATAATTATATATGATTATAAATAACCTCATATACAATTTCATATATAATCATGTATGATTATATATAATTATATATAATTATATATGCTTATATATAATCAACATATATATAAAAATTTCTTCTCGGATATAATCATACTTGGCTGTTATAACCCCATGTATAATCCATATATATCTATATATGATCAGATCAGATTATATATGAATGAGTCTTTATATAATTAGATCTAATCAGACTTGTATAGTTAGATCTGATCAACATTTTTTATTTGAAACAAATTTTTTTTTGATAATCACAAAAAGTGCAAAATGGTGTTCATAATTACGTTTAAATAATTCTGAAATACAAAATTTGTCACATTTCCTATCAGATGTTTTGTCTGCTCTGCCACTACGTAATAGTAAAATCATTATTTATTTTATGAATAGTTTATTAAAATAAATTAATTATGAACTATGACTATCCAAATATATTATAAAATCAATTTTTATATTATATATAAGATAAACTCATATGATGCATTAAGTAGATCATAGAATCATTATTGTCTAAAATAGCAGCATAGCAGACAGAAACTTCAAAACGCACGGAGATTACCAAAGTTAAGCAGCATTGAGTA